TATGGTAATAGGGCTTCTTCCCCATCACGTATCCTACAACTGAAGATGACCAGTATTTGATTTCATCTGCAACATCATCTTCCTTGATGGAAACCTTCTTCCCACGTATATTACTATGATACTTCAGATTTTGAAAATCAGATGCCGTTTCTGAGAAAAAAACGACACCAAGAGGTGTTAGGGACAGTATTCCGGCATGGAGAACCCACCGGCAGGATTGGGGAGGAGGATTGACCCTCCTCCATCACCAAAAGCTTCTCCCCAACGACCCAAACCACATGTAAACCCTAACAGCTAAATCGCCTGTGCGTACTTTCCTTTACATTATGATTCCTTTAGGTTGATATGCTGCTCGCTTCTTTTTATTGAATTATGTCGACTTTCACTGTCAAGGGAGTACTGGAAACTTTAATTTTGCTTAGTACCATGGCTCCTCCTAAGCAAAGGAGGCTACTTGTCAACTTGTTAACTACTATCAACTTGTTAACTACTTGTCACCTACTAGTTTAATTCACCTTTAAGTACCTAGCTATGAACTATCCTCCTTGGTTAATGGTTACCTTATTTTCAGTAATTACTCTTTTGAAAGCAATGAATGAACATGTAGAAGAATATTTTTACAGCCTCGCGTTTGTGTTGAGATGCCATGCACCTTGTGAAGAAATTTTGCAAGACCTTAGAATCAAGAGGAGTAATGTGGCGACCTTGTGGGCGGGTGCAAGGCATTAGCAGGTTACGGGTGCACAATCCCACATCGCCTAGGTAAGGCGAAAGTGAAGTGCTTATATGTGCTAGTGCTTTCTCCAAATGGTATGAGGCCTTTTGAGGTAAAACCCAAAAACAAAACCGTGCAGGCTCAAGCTCAAAACAGACAATATCATACCATGTGGTGGAGTGGGCTGTTACAAGTAATTGTTGCTCTAGTGAGATCTGAAACCTCCATCCTTCTTTCTCTCTCTTGGTTTCAATTTCAGCAAAACCATATTCCTATTTGTTCTCCCATCTCTATATTTCGTTCCAAACACAGCCCTTATGTTCTTTTTTATTTTTTATTCATTATACGAATAGGTTTTTCCAGACCCTAGATCAAGATGAGTAATTTATCATGCTCTAATGAGGTGTGTCACCTCCATAATTATGTTACATTTCTCCTGCATTTTGTTTCAACACATTGATATTCCTATTCATCTCTCTCTTCATTTAGTTTAACACATCCATATTCCTATTCATTCCTGTTTCTATATTTTTTTTTCCAAACTCAAACTCTTATATTAACCACTGTTACTTGTGGGGTGGGGGACCTTAGAATCAAGAGGAGTAATGTGGAGACCTTGTGGGCGGGTGGTGCATGGGCAGGTTACGGGTGCACAATCCCACATCGCCTAGGTAAGGCGAAGGTGAAGCGCTTATATGTGCTAGTGCTTTCCCTAAATGGCATGAGGCCTTTTGGGGTAAAACCCAAGAACAAAACTGTGCAGGCTCAAGCTCAAAGCGGACAATATCATACCATGTGGTGGAGTGGGCTGTTATAAGTAATTTTTGCTCTAGTGAGATGCGAAACCTCCATCCTTCTTTCTCTCTCTTAGTTTCAATTTCAGCAAAACCATATTCCTATTTGTTCTCCCATCTCTATATTTCATTCCAAACACAGCCCTTATGTTATTTTTTATTTTTTATTCGTAAATCTTAGAGGTGGTCCTACGAATAGGTTTTTCCAGACCCTAGATCAAGATGAGTGATTCTTCATGCTCTAATGAGGTGTGTCACCTCCATACTTATGTTACTTTTCTCCTGCATTTTGTTTCAACACATTGATATTCCTATTCATATCTCTCTTCCTTTAGTTTAACACATCCATATTCCTATTCATTCCTATTTCTATATTTTTTTACCTAACTCAAACTCTTATGTTAACCAGTGCTATTAATTCTGGGGTGGGGGGTGCGGGACCTTAGAATCAAGAGGAGTAATGTGGCGACCTTGTGGGCGGGTGTGCATGGGTGGGTGCAAAGCATTGGCAGGTTACGGATGAACGATCCCACATCACCTAGGTAAGGTAAATGTGAAGTGCTTATATGTGCTAGTGCTTTCTCCAAATGGTATGAAGCATTTTGGGGTAAAACCCAAGAACAAAACCATGCGGGCTCAAACTCAAAGCGGACAATATCATACCATGTGGTGGAGTGGACTGTTACAAGTAATTCTTACTCTAGTGAGATGTGAAACCTCCATCCTTCTTTCCCTCTTGGTTTCAATTTTAGCAAAACCATAGTACTATTTATTCTCCCATCTCTATATTTCGTTCCAAACACAGTCCTTATGTTATTTTTTATTTTTTATTTGTTAATCTTAGAGGTGGTCCTACGAATAGGTTTTTCCAAACCCTAGATCAAGATGAGTGAATCTTCATGTGTCACCTCCATACTTATGTTACTTTTCTCCTGCATTTTGTTTCAACACATTGATATTCCTATTCATATCTCTCTTCCTTTAATTAACACATCCGTATTCCTATTCATTCTTGTTTGTATATTTTTTTCCCTAATTCAAACTCTTATGCTGCGTTTGGTGTGCAGGAATGGAATGGAATGCAAGTGGGAATGGAATGACCATTCTCATTCTATTGTTTGGTTGTATATATGAAATGTGTAGGAATGGAATGATAATAATCATTCTAGTGTTTGGTTGGACCAATTTAAAATTTAGAATGGAATGAATTTCAAATTGATTTCTCCAAAATATCTTCTTAGTGACAAATTATTATTATTATTATTTTTTTGATAAAATACTAACATCATTCCCATGGAAGACGGTGTGGAGGTCTAAGGCGCCTCTTAGGGTGGCCTTTTTTGTGTGGACTGCAACTTGGAGTAAGATTTTGACTTTGGACAATTTGAGGAAGCGAAGGCATATCATTGTTAATAGGTGTTGTCTTTGCAAGATTAATGGGGAGTCGGTGGATCATCTTTTGTTGCACTATCCTGTGGCTCATGATTGTTGGAGTTTGATGTTTGGCCTGTTTGGTATTCATTGGGTCATGCCTCGGTCATCTCGGGAGTTGTTAGATATGTGGAGGGGCCAATGGGTGGGGGCTCAGGCCAGAGTTTTTTGAAGGGTGACCCCTTTTTGTATTTGGTGGAGCCTTTGGAGAGAGCGTAATGGAAGATCTTTTGAGGGAAAGGAATCCTCCATTGGTGTTAAAATTTTCTATCATTTGTAATTTGTTTTGTTGGGGTCAGGGGAGAGACTACTCCTCTCTTGAGGATATTGTTGATTTTATGAGCTCTTTGAGTTCATAGACTCCGTTTTGTCTTTGTATAGTTTAGGACGCGTTCCCCTTTTGAACGCTTTTAATACAATTTACTTATCAAAAAATAAATAAATAAATGGTGGCAGTAGCGGTGGTGGAGGTGGAAAGCGGTAGTAGTGTAAGTGGTGGTGTTGGAAGGCGGCGGCAGCAATAGTGTTGGTGACAGTAGTGTGGTGGTGGTGGTGGTGGTGGAAGGAGATAGTAGTGTAGGTGGCGCTGGTGTGAAAACCAATGGAGGTGCCTGTGGTGGCGGTGGAAGGCAGTGGAGGCGGTGGTGGTGGTGGTGATGGAAGGGCGACGGTGGCGGAAGGTGGAGGAAGGCGATGGCGATGGCGATGGCGATGGCGATGGCGGCGGCAGCGGCGACGGTGGGGGAAGGTGGTGGAAGGCGGTGGCGGTGGCGGTGGCTGTGGTGGTGGCGGTGGCGGTGGCGGCGGTGGTGGTGGAGGACGATGGCGGTGGTGGTGGCGACGGTAGGTGGTGGTGGTGGTGGAAGGCGATGGCAGCAGTGAAAGGCGGTGGTGGTGGTGGTTGTGGTGGAAGGCCATAGCGGTTGCGGCAGTGAAAGGCAGTAGCAGTGGTAGTGGAAGGTGGTGACGGTGGCGATGGTGAAAGGCGATGACGGTAGTGGAAGGCAGTGGTGGTGGCGGTGGGCAATGGCGGTGACGGTGGCCAAGGGCGGCGGTGGCAGTGGTGGTGGTGAAAGGTGGTGGTAGTGCCAGTGGTGGTGGTGGTGGAAGGCGGTGGCGGTGGTAGTAGCGGTGGTGGCGGAAGGCAGTGGCAATGGTGAAAGAAGGTGATGGTATAAGGCAGTAGTGGTGGTGATGGAAGGTGGTGGCGGTGGTGAAAGGCAATAGCAATGGTGGCGGTAGAGGTGGTGGTTGCAGCAATGGAAGGCGGGGGCGGTGGTTGCGGCAATGGAAGGCGGTAGCGGTGGCGGTGAAAGGCAAAGGCGATGGCGGTGGTGGTGGTGGAAGGTGGTGGAGGTGGAGGTGGTGGTTGTGGCAATGGAATGCGGTAGCGGTGGCGGTGGTTGCGGCAAAGGAAGGCAGTGGCGGTGGTGAAAGTCGGTGGTAGTGGTGGTGAAAGGTGGAGGTGGTTGTGTTGGAAGGTAGTGGTGGTTTTTGGACTTAGAACATGAGGGTTTTTTGGGAAGATTTTTTTAAAAAAAATTACTTGGGAATGGAATGGCCATTCTATAGGTTTAGTTGTGGAATGGATTTCCATTCCTAAGAATGGATTTTTATTCCAATGGAATGGCCATTCCCACTTTAAATTGCATACCAAACAAAAGAATAGTTGGAATGGGCATTCCATTCCTGCACACCAAATGCAACATTATGTTAACCACTGTTACTTGTGGGGTGGGGGTGGGGGGAACAAAATGATGCATGTCGGACCTCATTTTCATTACAAGTAGTCATGATCATGTAATCTAGTATGCTTTAATTGCATTCCTATTGTACTGGGGAATACAAACTTTTGAATCACTCAGGAGGGTACTAATTTAGAAACTACTGCATAGAAAGGATGACAATTTTTTAACTTCTGTTTACTTAACATTTCAAAACAACTTCCAGTCCAAAGCAAGTAAATTTTATGATCTGACTTACACAACTGATGGAAAGTGGAGCAATCAAACTTCCATCTATATGCTATAAAGATTCTGAAAAGTTGAATTAGAAATTACCTTCCATGGACAGCTAGAGCAGAAACACCAGTTTTCTCAATTCGTCGTGCCAATTCTACTGTATCCTGGGATGATTTTAGCAGCCGAATTTTACATGTTACTGGTGTGTCCAAATTCCTTTTTAATGTTGTCAAGATCTGGATTTATAAGGAAACTCTGTGAAGGATCAAATGGACTGCTACCCAGGAAAAAAAAAAAAAAAAATCAAACGCACTGCTAACATTCAAGAGGGAAGAACTTCACAGCTGACATGCATTGCTTACATCGTGAACAAGCTCCGGTTTAGCCAACAGTGCAGCGCCCATTCCTCCACTAATAGAGAACGACTTGGGGCAACCCATATTAATATCTACTGCTGCAACATCTTTACACCTGAAAGAGGAAATACCATGTTAAAGGCAGCAAAACTGGTTTCAGGCCAGAGAAGAAGGGAGTAAGTTATTCGTCGCATCCAGAGTCCCAAACCAACATTTTATAGAAAGGTGAGTTAGTTAGGTCCTGATCCTACAAAATTGGTGGTTGTGCCATAATTTAGGCTTCCCTCACCCAAACCTGGAACTCAAAAGAAAAATATGCTGTCTGAACACAATTGTGATTAATGAAAAAAAAAAAAAAAAAAATTATACATGCAGAGCGATCCAAAAATCCCATGATTTTAATTTTCTGCAGATCTAGATATTCGTAGAGAACTCCTAGACATCCAAAGTACCCAGTATAGACCAAATATACCCAACAACAACTATAAAATAATCCTTTTCTGCTATAACATGGCACCTTTAGATAAAATTGACCCTATGTTGCTAAAACATGATGCACTAAACAGTAGTAGTTCACCCTCTAAACAACTACACTTGCAGAAATTTCTTGTGTTTTGGTCAGAAGAAGACAGACTTGGTGGTTGACAAACATCGTATGGCGGCCGACTGTTATCAAATTGATAGTGCTGCGGTGACATGGGATGTCCAATTTGCTAGATCAGTTCAGGACTGGGAGTTGGAAGAGGTTATAGCCTTCTTTGGGTTGATTTACCAGCACATTGTCGATGTGGAGGATGATGATGGGTGGGGTTGCATGGGTTCTGGACATGGAGGGTTTGCAGTTAAACTATTTTACCAGGGCTTTCTAAGAGATTCTGAGTTGCTTTTCCAGGAAAGCAATGTGGAGGGTGGACTGTGGCTTTGAGAGGATCCTGACCATGGATAATCTGAAGAAGAGCGTCAAATTGTGGTCAATTGGTCTTGCATGTGCAAGAGGGATAAAGCGAGTCAATCATCTGTTATTGCATTGCCCGATAGAGAAAGCTATGTGGTTCTGGGCTATCTTTCTTTGGTGTGATTTGAGTGGTTATGGCTAGTGCATCAGAAGCTCTAGAGTCTTGGAGGGGCAGTTCATTCAAGCTTGCTGTGCTTGGAGGGATTGTCCGTTTTGCATTTGGTGGGGTTTGTGGAGGGAGAGAAGTAGGAGATTCTCTAAGGGTATGGAGGCTCCAATTTGGGTGTTGATGATGGGATTCAATCGAGACAGTACAGTAGCAACTGATTACCGAGGGATAATCTTGTAAAACTAATTTACCAATTTGAAATTCAGTACGGCAAGAGGATAGAATTAGAAAAGAACACAATCATGATATGGTTTAAGTAGCACTAATTGGGAAGAGAGAGAGAGAATTGATTAAGACGGTTTGGAATGTGTAAAGAACACCATTAAGTGCGCTGGATAAGAGGACTGACATGGTCCACATATTTTTTTTTTTGATAAGTAATAATTGAATAAAAAGGCGTTCAAAAGGACATGGTCCACATTGACAAGTAATGTTAAGACAACGAAGAGACCCAAGTTAATGTGGGTAGAGTTAGTAAGGAAGAATATAATAATAACATGTGGTTTGACTCGAGCTATAGTCTTAAGTAAAGCGGAATGAAAAATAAGGATTCATGTTGTCATCCCCAAGTAGTTGAAAAAAAGGCTTTGTTTGTTGTTGTACTATTATCAAGTTCTCAATCATGGTCACATCTAGAATTAAAATTTGACAATTTACTAGATTATGAACTAATAGACCTATTGTCAAATTCAACAGAAAGAGGTGACACTTCTGGTTTAGAACATATAGGTTCATCGATACAAGCAGCGTGGTTAAAAAAGTCTAAATTATATATATTTTTCATGAATCAAAATTATGTATTATTAAATCAAACTCATTCAGGGAAAAAAATTATGGATTTAAAAAAAAAAATATATATATATATATATATATATATATATATATATATATATATTTTTTTTTTTAAATCCATAATTTTTTTCCCTGAATGAGTTTGATTTAATAATACATAATTTTGATTCATGAAAAATATAAGGATCTACCAATTGTAATGTTTTAGGCACCCACTCTAATACCAACTGAAAGTTCGTGCGTCCATTGACCAATGCTCTCATGTGAGAGTTACCAAGGTCAAAACAATTTTAGATTGATAAATAGGTTAACAATAACTAATTCTTAAATTATAATAATTATACTTGAAATGCAGCAATATGAATCTATTAAATATAAAGACCAAAAACAAATAAATTGTGCAACCACACAAGAACACATCATTACATGGAAAACCCCAATGGGGGAAAAACAACGTGACATAGTTCAGGCAAACTTAATCCTCTATGAGAAAGAAGATTACAACTTGGTTACAATTTCCCAAACCTAAGAACCCTTAGTCTCCTTGACACTATTGGGATGTGTCTCAAATTCCTGAATGATATTGTTCATTAAGTCCAACCGGTCGCACTTAAGTCTGACCGGTCAAACTTGTTTCTGCCGTAGCACTTCGCTGAGTCAGATCGATCGCATTTGAGTCAGACGAATCACAGTTGTTATATGTACGGGATTTGTTTCTTTATTTGAGAAATTGCTTTCCTAAAGGCTGCAGACTTGTAGGGCAAGCTGTTTCTTTGTAATTAAGTAAGTTGTATCTCTATGGATTTTATTTTAAAGTTGAAGATTGATATGGTAACTTCCTGTCAGACATGGTATGGGAATCCTTGTTCAAAAAGGAATGTATTGAAGACTATAAATAGATGTGGAGTTGGATGAAGAAGGCAGAGAAGAAACAAGGGTTTAATGAGTGTTGTGAGGAGAGGAGAGAGTGTATGTAATTCGAAGAGATGTAGCCCCAAAAGATGATGAGTGAGAGAGTGGAGGAAATTGTTGAAAATATAATCAAAAGTAAAAAATAATATTACAGACTCTGGCTTTTATACCCTTACAACGGAGGAAATTGTTGCAACTTGCAACAGCTATAAATTATAAAACAATCAATTTACATCTCTTAATCAGCAGAATGACATGATAAAGGACCAGACCATGGCAAACTCAAGGCACTAAGATAGAGGATCCAACATAACAGAGAGATCAATCAACAAATATTGACATGAACACAAAATTGAACCAACAGTATAAAAACATTAGTAATTATCCTCCCTGAAACATCTTATCATCTTTATAAAGTAGTTCAAATGTGAAAAAGAAACTTACACGATCTGAGCAGCAGTCAGGGCCCTCACAGCGTCAGAAGTGCCCATTTGAAATATTACCCGACTTCTTTCTTCATGGCAGGTTCTGAAAACAATATTCCCGGTTCCCTTCTCCACAATATCAGTAGACCCAATGACCTCTGGGAAAGAAGTGACAAAATATGTTTCCAAATTTAAAAATAAAAATAAAAAAAAAAGGCATATGACCATAAATATTTTTTTCCCAAATTATGACCATAAATTTTATTCTTTAAAAAAAAAACATATTACCATAAATATTTTTTTCCCTAGATTATGACCATAAATTTTATCCCTACTAATTCCATCAGCTTGTATTTTGTTAAAATTAACTTATGAAAGAGTACTCTCAAAATGATATAACCAATTAATAATAATGCAACAACTAGAGAATACAAAATTTAACCTGATTTAGGCTTGCGAAGAAACCCAGTATGATCAGAACCATAAGAACCCCAATATATTCTTTTCTATTGGTTTTAGCATATAGCTGGCTGGATATTTCTCTCCATTGCAAAACTATCGACTTAGACAATGTTTCATCTAATAAGTATAAATATAAGTTATATGTCACAAAATCTAACGCACCTTCTGAACCTATATGTTGTTGAAAGAGATAAAAATTGAAGAGATAAATTAAACATGAAGAACACAAGGATAGACACACAAAGCCCAAAGGGCTACATAACCTTTTATTATTTTCTCTCTTGATTTGTATACATGATCACCTCTATTTATAGGTGAAAGAATATAGACATGTGATAAATATGATATAGGAAACATTCCTAAAATCACTCCCATGATTGATTCATATCAATATGTCAAAGGAGTGATTTAAGGGCTTTAATCATTCCTATATCAATGTTCTCCAACACACTACCCCCCCCCCCCCCCCCCCCTCTCTCTCTCTCTCTCTCTCTCTCTCTCTCTCTCAAAGCTGGTAGGAGATTTTAACTCAAGTGTCCAACTTGAAACTAAATTCAAAGTTCTTGAAGTCCGAGATCCGAGACGAGTATAGAGTAGGGTAGGATAAACCTACTCTGATACCATGTTAACTACCATCTAATCTAAAAGCTTAAGTTGTTGGAGAGGGTGTAACTTTACTATATAAATCCTTCAACACGCCCCCTCACGTGAGGCTTTCTTTTGATCCAACACGTCTTTTTCAATTTTTAATTAGGGTGACAAATATCCGAGACGATTTGATCTAAAGATCCAAGACGAGTATAGATATGAGTATACTATGTTGAAAGATATAAAAATTGAAGAGAGAAATTAAATATGAAGAGCACAACGACAGACACACAAAGCCCAAAGGGCTACATAACCTTTATTATATTCTCTCATATTTTTTGTATACATGATCACCTCTATTTTTTTTTGATAAGTAATAATAACATAAAAAGGCGTTCAAAAGGGGAATGCGTCCCTTATACAGAAGTGGAACCGGGCTAAGGCCCCAAAGAATCCAAAAAAATAATTAAATTATTAGAGGAGCTCTTCACGTAATTGAAGAGAGAATGAAGAATGTGAAGTTTCAATATTGCCCTAGACGACTCTTTCCCTTCGAACATTCTACTATTTCTCTCCATCCAAATGCACCACCATACACAATGTGGGACAATTCTCCAAAAATCGCATACATCCCTTCGCACATGACATCCTCTCTAAGCATGAATCAATTCATTAGTAGATCGTGGCATTACCCAACGCATGCCGAACAGCCCAAGAATAAGATTCCAACAATCGTTCGCCACTGGGCAATGCATAAGGAGGTGATCAACAGACTCCCCATCTTTCTTGCATAGACAACACCAATTAACAATACAATTAAGTTATCAATTGTCAGAATCTTTCCCCAAACAGCGGTCCAAACAAAGAAAGCCACCCTAGTTGGAGCCATGGATCGCCAAATAGTCTTCCACAGGAAGTCACGATTATCAAAATTAGACAGACACAAGAACAATGATCTTACTTCGAAACGACCGTGGGAAGAGGGAACCCATATCGAATCATCATTACCTCTGCCAACTCCCTCCTGGCGATACAATAAATCCAGAAAAGCACATACCTCGTCCAACTCCCAATCTTGGAATAAACGCCGAAAATGCACGTCTCACGTAATCCCACTACTATCAAGCCGATAACAGTCAGCTACGTAGGCGTGTTTATCAACTACAATACTGAATAATCTAAGAAATGTACGAGATAATGGCTGATCACCACACCAAAGATCTTCCCAAAAACGAACTCGATGTCCATCACGGACATTGAATCTGATATGAGTAGAAAAGCCATCCCATCCCTTCCGAATGGACTTCCACATCCCTACTCCTCCCATAAGAGAACCCGGACATGTAGACCACCCGCCAACCTCTTCCCCAAACCGGCAAGAGACTAACCTACGCCAAGGATGTTTTCTTTCCCTCCCATATCTCCATAACCATTTACCCAGGAGAGCTTGATTGAAAGGAACGAATCGTCTTATACCAAGACCACCTAATTTCAGACGCTTGCAAACTTGCTCCCACCTGACATGGTGATACTTGAACTCATCATCCCTTCCTCCCCATAGGAAGTCCCTTTGAATTTTTTAAATCCTATCCACAACGGAGCAAGGAATTTGGAACATAGAAAGAAAATAAGTGGGAAGGCTCGATAATGTACTCTTAATAAGAGTAACTTTACCCCCCTTGGACAGGTATTGCTTCTTCCATCTTGCCAATCTCTTCGTATACCTGTCAATCACTGAATCCCAACTCCCCACTATCCTTGAAGAGACCTCTAAGGGCAAACCCAAGTAATGAATAGGAAAAGAGCTCACCCTGCATCCAAGAACTGCAGCTAAAGAGGAAATATCCTGAACATTCCCTACCGGGACAAGCACACTCTTAGCCACATTAACCTTTAGCCCGAAAACCGCCTAAAAACAAGCCAGGGTGCACCTCAAATATCGGAATTAAGACACATCAGCATCACAGAAAACCAGGGTATCATCTACAAAAAGTAAATGAGAGATCTCCATCTGATGGACTGAATCTCTACCCACCCTGAAGCCCTTAATAAAACCAACGTCCTCTGCCCTGCACATGAGTCTGCTTAAGCCCTCCATAACAAGAAGAAAAAGGAAAGATGACAAAGGATGACCTTGCCTTATACCCCAAGTGCCCAAAGAAACTAGCGGGAGAACCATTCACAAGAATTGAAAACTTGACAGACGAAAGACAAGTCTCAATCCACTTCCTCCATTTACTTCCAAACCCCATTCGTTGTAACAAATAGAGTAGGAAATTCCAGTTCACATGATCGTATGCTTTCTCAATATCAAGTTTGCATAATACTCCAGGAACACCACTACGCAATCTGGAGTCCACACATTCGCCTACAATAAGAACTGAATCAAGAATTTGCCGTCCTCCAACAAAAGCTTTCTGTGAGTTCGAGATAATCCCAACCATTACATCCCTCATCCTTAAAGCAAGCACCTTAGCAATAAGTTTGTAAATACAGCCCACCAAACTAATTGGACGGAAATCCTTTATGTCAGAAGCGCCTCCCTTCTAAGGGATAAGGGCAATAAATGAAGCATTAAGTGACTTCTCAAATACGCCAGTAGAATGAAACTCCTTAAAAGTACCCATCACCTCATTTCTTACTACCACCCAACTTTCCATCAGAAAACGCATAGTAAAACCGTCAGGCCCCGGAGCTTTGTCCCCATTACAACTTGATAAAGCCTTAAAAACTTCTTCTTCAGTAAAAGGATTCTCAATCCTATCTCTATCCAGCTCAGAAATAGCCTCAAAATGGAAACCATCAAGTTTGGGCCTCCAAACTAATGGTTCGGTATAAAACTTCTGATAAAAGAAGCAATCTCGTTATGCACCTCTTCCTCCCTCCACAACTCTACATCTTCCACCTTAATTCTTCCTATATGATTACTCCTTCTATGAGCATTAGCTAATCTGTGGAAGAATTTGTGTTACGATCACCTTCTTTTAGCTAGAGAGCTTGGGATTTTTGTCGCCACGAAATCTCCTCCATGCTAGCAATCTCAGCAAGAACAGCCTGACGGGAAGCTCTCCTAAAACGTAAAGACTCCACATCCCCTTCCGCCTCCTCCAGACGATCAATCTCGGAAAAATCAGCAAGCACTCTGTTCTTCCTCCATTCCAGATTTCCAAAAACATCCTTATTCCACTGCTTAAGAGCAAATTTAAGAGCTTTTAACTTTTTTGTTATCGTGAAACTGGGCGAACCTGAAACAATAACTCCCTCCCACCAAGATCTGACTTTCCCTTGGAAATCCTCCGCTCGCAGCCACATATTCTCAAATCTAAACGGGGATCTTCGAGAACACAAACCCCCACAATCCAAGACCAAAGGAACATGATCAGAAGTGACCCTTGCTAACACCGCCTGAACAACATCCGGGAATTTCTCTTCCCACTCCCCAAAAATTAAAAATCTGTCCAATCTTAAAAGAGTGACTGGATCCCTACCATTTGACCAAGTATAGGTTGCACCTTCCATTGGTAAGTCAACAAGAAAATGCTCATCAATAAAATCAAAAAATTGATCCATATCCAAGGACCTTCTTCCCCCTGTAGACCTCTCTGACGGGGACCTGGCAAAATTGAAATCCACTCCCAAGCACCAAGGGAGAGACCACAATCCTTGGGCATGGCTAAGCTCCTCCCAGAAAATAGGTCACTCATCATCAACAACCGGTCCATAGACGCCAGTAAAGACCTATTTGAAATTGTCCTCTTCCATCTTAAACACACAAGACACAAAAAATCTCCCCAACCACACGTCCATTCTAGATAACTATCTGCAGTCCCACATGACTAAGATCCCACCCAAAGTACCTATAGCATTCAAAGCCTCCCATTCCACAAACCTTCCTCCCCACAAACTCTTAACGATCCCGTCAGAATGGATGCCAGCTTGGTTTCTTGTAAACAAACAATCTGGGCACCCCACTTCCTTAAAGCTACCTTCACCACCCTCCTCTTGTTCGGATCATTGAGATCAGGAACATTCCATGTAATAATTCGTAACTTCATTAAAAACTAGATAAAATTATCTCCCCTCCTCCCTTCCTAATACTCCTATTCCT